CACTTGGCTCGTTTATCTCCAATCTTTCATCGTTAATCCATAAATCGTTATCAAAATTAACAAAATCATCAAAGCCAACATTGCTGCTCATCCGTTTCATTCCTCGAGTCATTTCTCCAATCACTGCTAAGGGAATATCATCGTCGTCTTCAAAAGCATCATCTATGGATTTTTCAAAAGTGTCATTCCTGAATCTAAATCCTGCTTTTTGAAAGCAATTTGTTATTGTCGCAGGAGTCACTTTCTCCCATGCTTTTTGAATAAAGTATATTACATCCAACAAGTTGATTTTTTTAATCAGATCTTCTGAAGAAGTGGCTTCATCCATTCTAGCCAGAACATGTTTCACAATCATGGATCTATACCAAGTTTTGAAATTTTTAATAATCCCTTGGTCTAGGAGTTGGCACACCGACGTAGTATTTGGTGGAAGAAAAATTATTTTGATATTTTTTAATTTGAAGTTTTTGTCGTGCGATGCCGCATTGCCCAGAAAAAGAAGAATCTGCCGTTTTTGAGAAGCCATTTTTCTATCAAATTTCTGCAGATAGTCACTAATTATGTCGGATGTCATCCAAGATTTTTGGTTAGAATACCATGAAACGGGTAAAGTGTTTAAATTAATTTTTCCAAAAGCCCTCGGTCTAGCAGCTTTACCAATGACGACTAATTTTTCACGTTCCCCGGCCATATTCACACTGTGTAGAATAAACAATCTTTCTTTTGCTAGTTTTCCGCCGGAGCACTTTTCACCCTTGAATGAAAAAGTTTTAGTGGGCAATGCCCGAAAAACCCTGTTTCATCCGCGTTGAAAATATCACGTGCATCATAACCGCGTATCAATGAAGGAAGTTTTTCTTCAAACTCCGCCACGTCTACTTGATTTACACTAGCTGCTTCCCCACTAACTGCTTTGAAGGTGATGTTGTGTCTCTTCTTGAAGCGTTGTAACCATCCGGAGGATGCATTAAAATTTTGAATGTTCAAACTCTCTGCAATTTCCTTAGCTTTACTTCTTATTATTGTCCCAGACAGTGGAATATTTTTATTTCTTGCTTTGATGAACCGCTTGTAGCAGCGTTGATCAATTTTTAGACCTTCAGGTTTGAAGAAAGTGCGCTTCTTATTGACATTAACGTTTGTTTCCCATTCTTTTAGAAGTTCGTTTCTTTTGTTTATGATGGTAGCCGCCTGACTTTTACCAATTTTAAATGTTTTTCCTAAGACTCGAGCACTAACTTTATGTTTAGTGTAAAACTCCACTATTTTGACTTTTTCTTTCAACGTTAAAATTCTTTTCTTTTGAGACATAATTACGCTCTCAGCAAACGAAAGAGAATAAGTGACTAGTGAGAATGAAAAATGAAACGGGCAAACGTGCTTAATGTGGATATTTACAAATTTTCCACATGCATGCATATCACATTATTGACGCTGTTTCAGCGTTTCGTCGCCAAGTATTGTCCGTACAACAGAGATTGCGTTCGAAAATTTGTTTTGAAAGCACTGTCCGTGTCCGGTTACAAGGGGGTCCGCTTAAGAGAACAACATTTATTAAGAAATGCCTATGCGTTGGCCGGTCGCAGAAAAATCGTCCGTACAAAAGGGGTGTCCGCTTATGAGGAGTGAATTGACGGAATTCGTGCATCAAGGCGGTTAATTCACACATATTTCAGATAATACATCTATACGATTATTTTTTGTTTTTCCACAAAACACTCAATCCACATACAAAATGGAGGAAAGACGAAACATGGACGAAACTACAGACGAAACATTATTATTATTATTTAAAGCGATCGGGCAGAGACCAAAGCTTGTTATGCCCGCGCTATTCAATATGGAATAACAAATCCGTTTACGCAAATTGCGAGTCATACCTTATTTTGAAAACATTCGTGGATCGACTCACTACAATTTGATTAGGTAACGAATTCCAATGTTGAAAAACTCTATTGCTGATAAAGTACTGCCGCGGAAAGTGGCTCTCTTAGCAACATATGTGATGTAATGTGACCACGAAAGATCAGAACCAATGAAAACACCCAAATCTCGACAACAGACCGCTTTGACAAGTTGCGTGCCACCGATGCTGTACGAAAACTGTGGATTGTATTTTCCAATGTATAAAACTGTACATTTTTGGGTGTTGAGAAGCAGTCGCCAGTCCTGTGACCATTTGAAAACTGCGTTAAGATCTTGTCTCAAAAAGAAATTATTAGTGTTAACATTGTATAGTTTGATAGTGTCCGCGTACATTGCAAAAGGTGTGTCATTCATAAGTGGTCGTTCTACTGTAACGAATTTGAGTTGTTTCACCCAATTCGTAGCCAATAGTTTCGATGCTAAACAGCAGGTGGACGTGATATATACTGATTTTTCCAGGGCGTTTGACAAACTCAACCACAGAATTCTACTGATAAAATTACGCAACTTTGGCTTCTCCGATTGTTTACTGAAATTAATGGTATCTTACCTAACTGGTAGATATCAATGCGTGACGTACCTTCAACATCAATCCGAAACAATTTTGGTCCCGTTCGGCGTCCCACAGGGCTCTGTTCTAGGTCCGCTACTTTTCAATGTCTACATCAACGATGTTATTAAAAACATTAGTTCTCAAGTTTTAATTTACGCAGACGACCTAAAAATCTTTCGTCATATTATTAATGTTGAAGACTGTCAAATTCTACAGGAAGATATTCATACTTTTGAAAACTGGAGTAAATCTAACATGTTACCTATAAATTTTGGCAAATGCTTCATTATGTCTCTAACAAATAAAAGTTGTAAGCTTAGTTTCAATTACACTATTAACTTGAATATCTTATCAAGAGTGGATTCCTTCAGAGATTTTGGAATAATGTTTGATTCTAAACTCACGTTTTCTCTACATATTAGTAATACAGGGTGCCGCATCCAAGTCTGGATATAAGGAATTAACATGGGAATTGGTTTTTATTTTATAATATCTCCCCAGATCACTTTAAAGCTATTATTGAGTGATGCCTTTGTGGAGGTCGAAGAGGGCTATCGGCCAGTATTTTTTTCAAATCGTTGCATCGCGCTCATTTACTGTAAAAAGGTTTTAAAAATCGTATTTTGAAATTCGCGCCCGATCTGAGTTGTCGCGAAATGTTCCGTCGCACTGTCGAAGTTCGGCGATCGCGTCTTCAGATTAGCCATGCAAAATCCAAATGTCAAAGTGAAATTAGAAATTATTCTCAGAAATCAATGAACAACTCAAACTGATTTATTTTATCCGGTGTGATGATTATTGTAGGACAAATTAAACGGAATAAATGCACAAATTGATCCATTCATTCGTCATAGTGCGCGACCCCGTCAAACGATTCATCTCGAACTACACTCAGGCCGTATCCAAAAAGCCCGAGATGAAGACTTCGAGCAGCTGCGATTAGATGAAAAAGCGAGGGCCTGCTTGTTCTTCGACGGTTAATTTAATTAGTAGGTAATTTGGATAAATTTCACACTTTTTTTTTAATCACCAAAGATTGGAAGTCAATTGATTTTACATTCGTTAAGCAGGGATGGAGTTTTTGCCCCATGGAAACATGTTCGTTACAAGAAATTTTTGAGAGAGAAATCTAGAACATTCACTTATCAACATTTTAAAATATTTTTCTGTATTACGAATGTGTTTTGGGATTCAGAAACTTTTGTATTACTGTTTTATTTATTTATTGTGTTAACAACAACAAAAATAAAAATAATATTTCACAAAACAAAGTTACATTTATTTTCAAAGATAATAAAAATTACATAAAATCAGGTGGTGTTAACAGGTGCATGTTTGGCGCCACAATTTGAATTATGCATTTAAGAACTTTTACTAATTAGTAACTGTTGTAAGGGATGCCGTGTCATTGGCACCAATCAGATTATTTCAAGCTCTTGTAGGATCCGTGGTAGAAACAATTCACTGGCTCTGATTCTTATCAGGTGGGCACGACGTCTTCTAGGGATCTTAAACAGATGGGATAGAAGAGTTTCAAATAGCATCATGACAAAAAATTAAAGCCTGAGGACTACTCACGTATGGTGTTTTACGAAGGAACGCTTGAGAAAATCTAGGCTGATGGAGAGTTTTTGAGGAACATTTGTTTTACTGATGAATGTTCATTTGGTCTTAAGGGAAGTTATAATCGTCAGAACGATCAAATTTGAGCAATACACAATCCTCACGTGGTCGATGACATTGACCATCGTTATCAATGGCGTGCAACTGTCAGTGTGTGACTGGGGCTTCGAGGACATCATGTCATTACACCTTTTTTCATCGAATTTGGATTGAATGCTCAGAAGTAGGACAATATGCTAGATCAGCAAATACTTCCTAGGACTCGAAGGGTGCGGCATCTGCAGCAGATCTTTTACATGCAGGATCAAATCTCCAGCCATAGAACTCGCATAAATGTTGTTTATTTGAACCACTATTTTCCCGCAATGTTGGAATGGAAAGTTTGCACCGCCCCATTGGCCTGTGCATTCGCCAGATCTAAACCCCTGTCAATTTGTTCTTTGGAGATTTCTTCACGAGCATCTGTATTCGAACAATACGAGCTATACAAACAGAGACGCGCTGAAACAAGCAATCCAGCAATATTGTCTTCATATTTCAACTCAAATGCTAATCAACACGCGTAGGAGTTTTGAAGATTGGCGTACTTACTGTACGGCTGCTGAGAGCAGTCTTTTTGAGCAATTCTTGAAAATAGTGTAATACTTCTCCAGATTCGTACAATATTTCATTACTTCATTCATCAACAATTTTTAAATTTTGTTATTTGTAGTTATCTAAATGGTTCATTAAAAGGTTCTCTTCAAAGGCGCCAGCTCTTTTGATGGTAAATCTTATCATCACACAATAAGAAAAGCGGACCCTCGCTTTTTCATCTAATTGCAGTAGAACATGGCATTTTAATGAGATTTTAGTAATAAAGACTCGACCAGCACCACCAACATAACCTAATAAAATATTTTGTGCAGTTTGTGCATTTATTCCGTTTAAATTGACCTACAATAATAATCGTTATATTGGATAAAATAATTCAATTTGAGTCGTTCAGTGATTACTGAGTGAGGCAGCGCGAGTACATCCCTAGCTTCTTCTTCTTCGTCTTTTCGGTACGAATGTACATTCCTAGCTTGAAGGGCTCCCAGGACATGTCAGAATGCTGTCCATGGGGTTTACAGGAAGACCAGCTGCTCGAAGTCTTCATCGCGGGCTTTTTGGATACGGTCTGAGTGTAGTTCGAGATGGCTCGTTTGACGGGGTCGCGCACTATGACGAATGAATGGATCAATTTGTGCATTTATTCCGTTTAATTTGTCCTACAATAATCATCACACCGGATAAAATAAATCAGTTTGAGTTGTTCGTTGATTTCTGAGAATAATTTCCAATTTCACTTTGACATTTGCATTTTGCATGGCTAATCTGAAGACGCGATCGCCGAACTTCGACAGTGCGACGGAACATTTCGCGACAACTCGGATCGGGCGCGAATTTCAAAATACGATTTTTAAAACCTTTTTACAGTAAATGAACGCGATGCAACGATTTGAAAAAAATACTGGGCGATAGCCCTCTTCGACCTCCACAAAGGTATCACTCAGTAATAGCTTTAAAGTGATCTGGGGAGATATTATAAAATAAAAACCAACTTGCCATGTTAATTCCCTATGTCCAGACTTGGATGCGGCACCCTGTATAATTGCTGAAGCGTTTAAATCCCATGGGTCCAGTTCTTAACATAACATCACTATTTTTAATACGTTATATTGTGGTTTCGTAAGATCAAAACTTGAATACGCCAGTATTGTATGGGCTCCGTCAGCTCAATTTTACATTCAATCTATAGAAAAAATCCAGAGGTGTTTTCTCAAGTTTTTAGCATTCAAAATAGACGCTAATTATCCTCCTAGAGGCCTACCCCAATCTGACCTGTTGATCAGATTTGGATATAACGACTTAAAGACTAGACGTATCAGAGATTCTCTATATTTTCTTAAAAAACTAATACATTATGGCATCGATTGTCCACAGCTTTTGGAACAGCTTCACTTTTGGGTTCCCAGGCCATCATCGCGCCTTCAACAACTTTTCTATCTGCCGACGCCAAGGATTGACATTCAGAAATACTCTCCTCTACATGAAATGTGCTCTAACTATAACTGCCATGAAAACATGTTAGATTTCTTTAAGTAAAAATTTCTGGCTGCTCTTTAATTATTAATCTCTAATTACGCGTTGACTTTAGATTTCACCTTGTATAGGGACAACAGTAATTTATAGCTGTTGTTTGAGAAAGATCAATTTGATGATCCGCTAACCGTTGGTCTATAATCTTATATCTTACACACATAATAATAATAATAATAATAATAGTGCGTTTGTCAGTTACAAAGGGTGGTGATGTAGACGAATTGTTGACGGTGTCGTTTTGTGTTTTAGTAGCAGAATCATCACTATGAGTATTGTTGGGACAGTCGTTAGCAAAATGGCCAGCGGTTCTACATTTAAAGCACACATTATCGTAACTTAAAAATAACCTGTAGTTCGTGTTATGATATTTAATGACCATAGACGATGGAAGTTCAATTGATTCATTTGGTTGTACATAAACTTGTCGTCGAAAGCTTTGTGACGTCTTCCTCAAAAGAACGCCCACGGCCTGACTAACTCTTTCGTCGTGCGAGGTGGTGGGTCGATCAAAGGTGGATCAAACTCGAAAACTAGGGCGCCAGCATGCCTCAAGAGGCCATACAGAAAAAAGACCACAGGAAAGTAAAGAAAGAAAGAGTAGAAGAAAGAGATGAAAGGGAAGAAAAGGGAAAAAGAGAGGGAAAAAGTAACGAACACCCGGGCAGACTTAATTAGTATAATAAAATCCTATGTACAGAAAAATGTAACTAAAAAAAATAATTCAATCGCGTCATCAACGGTTTGGTTGAAACGGCGGCGACTCTAGGGTGTTGGTGACGGGTGACGGTTTAAACGACAACTCGCCCACGCGAAAACACTCCCGGAGCTCTTCCGGACGGCCTGTGCACACTCCCCCGCGACTCACCGAATTGGTACCAATTTCGGGCGATCGACTGTGCGTCCCTGTCGCGGTGATGGCTCTGGACCTCCGTCTCTCCGCTTTTTGTCGGGGGGCTGCCTGTGCCTTTCCTGGATTCCGCGCAACCAGGGTGTCTCGCAGACTCTCGAAGGTGACGACAACAGGATACGAAGAAAGAAAAAGAAGAAAAAAACCTGCGTTGAAAGGGGACGTTATCCCTTGTCGCATTTTTGTCGTCATTCACCTAGGTCTTATAGGCACTCTTTTTTCCTCGGCATCGATTTTCTCTCGCCTCCTCCAAATGGCGTCGTCTTTCGTACCGACTTATCACCTCCCTCTTTTTTGTTTCTCCCCCTTGCCGTCGCTTCCGCCTAGCCGCGCGCTGCGCATTTTAAACGTTACAGCTTAATACATGTTTATATTCATTGCCTTCAATGCTGGCTTTCAGAAAAGACATTTTCGAAGTCAAGTTCAGACCTAAAGTGGAGATTAAGTTTTCGATAGTGGTATGAGGTATCGACGGGCACACATTGGAAACAATAATACGTCGTGCGTTATGCTTCGACCTGTTATTTTTGAAGATTTTTGACGTGAAGATCTATTTTGATCATATTTTGATGCTGATTGTCCCTTAGTAAAACCAATTTTATGAACATTATTTGACGCATGTGATGAGTTGTTATAAACTTCTCGATTTTGAATTCTTGAAGCTTCGATTGTCAATGCTGTTTCTAATGGTTTATCAAACGAGACGTTTACTAATTGAAGAATTCTTTCTCTAATGCTGGAATCTTATAGTCCTCGGATAAACTGAGCTTGTAATGACATGTCGATCACAGATTTCGAACAAGTAAAAAACCTCTTTTTCTTTACATTCCGTTTTGAATTCGCAATTTTTAATTAGTTCTTTCAATCCTGCAACGAATGTAGAAATTGATTCAGCTGGTTGTTCAACTCTTGAAAAGAATTTATGTTGTTCAGGTAAAACATTTCCCTTCGGTGCAAAATGATTTCTTAGAAGATCCATTAATTCTTGGTAGGTTTTTGTAGCTGGTAGTTCTGGAGAGGTCAAATTTACAAGTAATTTGTAATGTCTGCTGCCCAAACAATTTGTTAATACCATAACTTTGGCATCACTAGTTTCTTTGTCGTTTTTATGCAAACCTCTTAATTTGAAAAAAATTTCGAGTCTGACTGTAACTCTCAAAATTTTCAACGCTTTCATCGAATCCGTCGAAAGACATAGCCTGGGTCTGCAAAATTCTTGTACACTTGCAGTCAATGTTCGTTGGTTTTTTTAATGTAGAACCAATCCACTAAGGGCCGTTACTAATGCTGATAAATCTTCCGCCATGTTTTTTAATCATTTGTCGCCAAAAATTGTTGTGTATTTAACGGTTTAGAATAATTTTTCATTATGACATTTCAATAAATTAAAGAATATTATAAAAATATCTAAACTGTTAAAGACACAACAGTACGTCCCGTACCACCCGACAGATGGCGTACCAAGTATCGTTCTGGGATTAATTAAGTCAGACAATGTTATTTGAACGAGTGAACGAGTGTTTCGCGTGCTCTCGTTTGCTACCATGGACCTACTATTATTGGACTGCTCGTGCCCGCTCTAAACTGTTGTCAACATGATTAGGCAACACACAATACCCATTCGGGGCAAAAGCATCATTGGTGTAAATTGGCGCGAAGCCCCTTATAGCCAAAAACTCGTGTACTTTATTTATTTTGGACTGTTTTCTACAAAATATTAAATTTTTAGTTAAATTGTTATATGTATATGACATTTTATCCACTGTTACCACAATGGTGAAGTCTTGTGCGGCATTTAACTGCCAACAAAGATATGGACAAGATCCCACGGTTTCATTTCACAGGTTAGTAATTACTAATTATTATAATTAATTAGATTATTTTTACTTCCTTCGTAAAGCCAAGGGAAGTGTTGAAATAGGACAGTTTTGCTATTGCTACATATAAAATGACTGCTGTTCAAATTTTACTTTTCTAAGTATAAAATATACTCATCATAATCGCTACTTATACGACCGAGAATAACTGATATTGTTTAATTCATGATATAAGTAAATTTACTTGTATCATGATTTAATTTAAGATTTAATTAATATTATCTGGAATTTGTTAGTTTTCCTGCTGATGTAAATTTGAAACAAAAGTGGATAATAGCAACGAAGCGAGAAAAATTCCACCCGTCCAAATATTCCGTTTTATGCAGCAAGCATTTTAAAAAGAGTGATTTTATCATTCTTGAGGGAAAAAGGAGACTAAAAACAGATGCTGTACCTTCCTTATTTAATTTTCCTAAACATCTTCACAAAGCAACTGTGGAGAGGAAGGCTTCTTCTATCCAAAGAGAAAATTTGAATATAGAAAATAGGTATGAACCTATACAAAAGTCAATTCATGTTTATTTTTTTTTTGAATTTTATTTATTTAATTCTATTTCTGAAAATCCATAATTTCAGTCTGTGTTCAAAAAATCAGCAATCAGAATTGATTCATATAGTTCCAGTAACAAGTCAAGAACGTTGCGAAAAAAATATATCGCAGAATAGGTAAGAAAATATTATTTACCTTCTCGACATAAACTAGCTGCGATATTTAGTTGGCTATCTCCTCATCTAATTTTGATATCGTATCTTTTAAGGAAAAGGAAAGCACCTATATATTTTGGTGATTTTGAGGAACATCACCTGCAAAATCCAAAAATAGCGAAAAAAATGTGGGAAACTGCCTAACGTGATTTAAAAATTCAAAAAAATAAATTGAAAGTTCTGCGTGTTAAAAATACCAGACTTCAAAAAAAAGTACTAACATTGAAGCATTTAATCCAACACTTGCAAGAAAAAAAAGCAATTTCTCAAGATGGAATTTTCTTGCTGAAGGTATATTTTGATAATTATTTTTTATAGATACTTGACTGCTATATAATCGTGTTAGAAGTCGGATAAATCCAAGGATAAAACCACCGCTTTACAGCATGAACTAATATGCAAGTAACTATTTGTATATGTTACAGCTAATATCCGAAATCCGTTATTATGCATAATAACTAGACATTTTAGGAATTATGCGTAATAACTAAACTTGTCAGTTATTATGCATAATAACCGAACAGATTAGGGATTATGCGTAATAACTGAAATTTTCAGTTATTATGCATAATAACGGAAACGTTTAGGTAATACTGATAATAACTAACAGAGGAACAGGAATTATGCATAATATTTTCAAAAAAGCTACCCATCCTGCCTCGCTTTACCCTACATATCACATGTACAGTTGATTAAAAAAAAAATTGGTCTAAAGAGTTTAGACAG